TGGTTTTTAAAATTTATAGTGCTTTTAATATCTCATGTAAAATTTTTAAATACTAAAATTGCTTTTAACTGTTTCTTAGAGAAGAACATTCTTTATAATATTATCTCAATTTGTATTTTATAGGCAAAAGCAACAAATCACCCACCTACATGAGAGGATAAGGGATAATGAACTACGGGCACAACATGCCATGTTGGGGCATTATGTAAATTGTGAAGATTCTTATGTGGCTAGTTTGCAGGTAAGTCTACAGAGGATTTTGTAGTTGTTGTTTAATAGTAAATTGTATTAATAATATACCTAGCTTATAAAATCAGGACATTTTAAATGAAGGTTTTAAATTAGTATATTTACCTGGTTCATATTTATATGTGTGGCAAAAGGTGTCCAACTATAATCTTCCTTTTGTCCAGTTCATCCCACATACAGCAGAAGCTATTGTTACCAGTTTCTAGTGTATACTTTCAGAGTTGATACATATAAGCAGATGTAAATATATTTTATGTCCTTGTATTTATAAGAAATATCAATATGGGCATTGGCATCTTGTTTTTTCCCTTATATTATTTAAAATTGTATAAAATTCAGTTATTATTTTCATATCACTACATAGATAACACTACTTTTCTTTCTACTTTAGAAAAATAGCATGCTTTTAGTCAGTCTATTTTTTGTTCACCAAAATTTGGGTTATTTTCTGTTTGATCTTTAATAAATGATACTCTCAATAGCCTTTTATAAATATTCTTTGAGTCATGTGCAAATATTTTCATAAATTATTTTTTCTTTTTAAGAACCATGTGTTTTCCTAAAACTGAAAACTTTTCTGATAAGACTTCTCAGTGTTTTATGAAGTTTGTAATTTTTATTGATATTGTCAAATTGCCATTCAGGAGAGCATTATGTATGACTTCCCCTCTTCTACTTCCTGCCTCTCAGCCATACTAACAGAATATGTTACCAAACTTTTGGAATTTTTGCCCTTTGTTAAGTTATAGAAAAGTCATGATTGGAGGGAGTTATCTCCATATGGCTTCATAACTATTTCTTAATAGTGATGTTAAGCTTCTTTTTATATATTAAAAGATTGCTTCATATTTCTCTTTCTTTGAATTATCTTTTCATATTCTTTGCTCA